GTGAGGATATGTATTGTGCATAAGGGAAGGGAATGGAAGGGAAGGGAAGCAGGAGCCTTCTGAGCAAAGCCCTCTCACAAAGCTCATGACATGCAGGTAGAAACCTCTTCTGATGCCCAAACTTTGCTTCCCCATGGCCAGTTTTAAATCCACCCCTTTTGTTCTAGCACCTCCTTCACTTAAAAAGTTCTTTCCCCTCCAGTTGTGTTCTAGAGGTCAGGTTTGGTCCAATCCAGGCTCCCCTCTCCTCAGCTAAACAAGCCACATGTTCCACCTCCCCCTGTCGGGGTCTCTGCTCCCTCCTGCCGCTTGTTGCTGTTGACATCAGTGCCAGCACACAGGTACAGCAGTGACTGGCATGGGGCTGGGGTGCCTGCTGCCCCTGCTGCCCCCACACCCCTCACACCCGGGGCACTGTTCAGCTCCTCTACAAACACGCTGCCCAGCACAGCAAGTGCCATTACTATGGATCTGTCAGGACCCTTCACTGACCGCCTCTCTGCCCCAACCAGCCTCTGACTGACAACAAGACCCTCAAATGACCAGATACACTAAATCCCCATTTTCCCTGGACTTTGCTCCCTCCCTTGGATGCCTCCTATGAAGCTCCCCCAGAAGCAGTGCTCCCAGACAGGCGGCAGGGCCGGGAGTGCTCCCGCTGCGGGCACCCCGAGCTGTGCTCAGCGTGCCAGGGGGGCTCCCCAGGCAGCTGGGCTGGCAGTGCCACGTGCTGCACACAGAGACTCCCATCTCAGCTCGCTGGTGCCCGGGTGGGTGACCTGGAAGCTGGTGCAGGCCTCTGCAAAAATCTGCACGCACCTACCCACAGTCCAGCTTTGGATGCCTGCGCAGCCAGGTACGAACTCCACAGGGGTATTTAAAAATTCTCTGTGTAAGGGTCCAGCCAGTGGCTGCAGACACTGCTCAGGCCTCTACAGGACCCACCTCCTCATGGTGGGGTACCAGCAGTCCTCGAGAGGCTCAGATACATCCCAAGGTTCAAAGCTAATCCCCTTACAGAGAAAATGTCAGTCTAGCAAGATCTGTTTTTGCTGAACTTTCTTTCCCTTTTCTCCAGTGTTCCACCCGCCCTGAGTCACAGAATAGCACCATTTGTGCTGGAAAAGACCTTTAAGCTCATTGAGTCCAACCCTCCCCCAGCACTGCCAGGTCCCCACTGCCCCGTGTCCCTCACCCCACATCTCCACAGCTTGGAAACCCCTCCAGGGGTGGGGACTCCACCACTGCCCTGGGCAGCCTGGCACAGACCTGGACAACCCTTGTGCAGCAGAAATTGTTCCTCAGGTCCAACCTAAACCTCCCATGGTGCAACCTGAGGTTGTTTCCTCTTCTCCTGTTGCTTGTTCCTTAGGAGAAGGAGTCCTTAGCTCCTCTTTTCCTCAAACCCCGTTCCAAGCGCTGCTCACTGCTGAGGGGCCCTTGGTGGCTCTGGCCACGCCACGTCCCATCCTCCATAACCCACACTTGCTGTTCCTTGGACTGACAGCACTGTGCTGGACAGACACATTTCCTGAAGCCCCTGCTACAGATCCTGTGATTTCATATGCCAGTGGCTGCAGAGCTAGAATCTGTTGGCTTGACTGCCCTGAGGAGCAGCAGAGCCCAGGACCTCACCCTCCCCAGCCAACTCAGTGTTTTGTAGGCGCTGGAATCTGCAGCAAAGCCCTCATGCAATGAGGTCTCCCCAAAGGATCTCAACATGGCAGCCTGCTTTGGGTTCTGACCTGCCCCCTTGAATCAGTTCTGCTCCTCCAGAGTCTCAGACAAAGAGCTGCAGCTTCAGCACCCTCCCGGCGTGGAGCCCTCGGCAGCGCCTGCCCAGGCACCGCTGCGCTGGAGGCACAGCACAGGCCCCTCCTGTGCCAGAGCAGGGAGAGCCTCCCTCCTCCTCCGTGCTGCTCCCCCAGCTCACCCCTCAGCTCACCCCTCCACGAGGACATCCCCTAGCCCACCTGCACCCGTGTGGAAGCCCAGGGGGACCAGGACCACGGGCAGCTGTGTCCACCCAGGCCAAGGCCCCTCTCGGAGACATTCTGCTCTGCCAGGAGCCTCCCTGCAGACTGCTCATGGCTCTGCCACCGGCAGCTGGAGAACCACGCCACCATCTTTGGAGCCCCTGAGCCAGACCCCACGGTCTGGACACGAAGCTTGACCTGAGGGCAAGGACACAAAGCTTGACCTGAGGGCAAGCATCGAGCCGTTCTGGGCCAGGACAGAGGCGCCCGCTCCACCCCTCCCAAAAGCTGCCCCAGGGCTCTGGTGCCAGCCCAGGGCCAGGCTCCGCGTGTGTGTGCGCAGGGAACGGAGCGGGGTGGAGGAGCACGGGGGCCCCCGGCTCCCCCCGCTCCCATTGCCCACCTGGTTGATGTGAACAGAAGGAATGGAGGCCGCAGAGACGGACGAATGGCTGGGTGAGTTGGGCAAGGACTTGCAGGGGCCGATGGAGAGCTGCTGCTTCTTCCGTAGAGCCACCACCTTCTGAGCCACTGGAAGAAGGGAGAAAGGGACAGGGTCAGAGTCCAGAAAGCAACTTCCTCCACCCACAGATTTCTGGGCAGCTTCAGTGAGACCCAAACTCTTCCTCTGACTGATGCCAGTGCCTGAGGCTCAAACTGCACCCCCTGTATTATCGGGGATTCCTGTAGAACACCCAACCTCACAAGGACCATGGCCTGCCACTGCCACCAGCCCACTGCCAGGGACAGCATCTGCCCAGGGCTGATCCAGCAGGCAGCAGAGTCCCCAGGGGCCGCCTGCTCTCTTGGGTCTCACCAGAGCAGCGACTGCACATGGACAGCAAGGAGCCACCCAGAGCCCTTGGGCAGCCAGAGTCACTTCTTGGTCACCCCCTCACAGCAGCCACAGGAGCCACTGACTGAAGTGAACAGCCTGGGCAGTGCCACCTCCTGACTCTCATGGGCTCCAGACATTAGAAAAACTAACATGAGGAACCACTCTCCCAGTTCCTGTGACATCACTGCCTGATGGCAACAGGCCAAAACTGCATTTCAACCTCCTCCATGTCCTACCTTTTCTGGAAATAAACACCCTGACCAAAGAGCAGAAGAGCAAGCTGGGCTGCTGGGGCATTCGAGAGAACATGTCACCATTCCTCATTCTCTCTTGCACCCTCACCAAAGGAAAACTTTCAGACGAGCACAACTGATGGCACTGGGAACACCCCACGTCCAGCCCAGCCCTCACGCTGTGCAGCCTCAGGATGAAGGAGTTGCCACGTTCCCTCTGCACAAAGACAGAGGCTGTTGCACCACACACGTGGTGTGACTGAAGGCACCCGGGAAGTCAGGTGCTGAGGGCAGATGCAAACCCTGTCACCTCACAGCCACGCTGGGCTGTCCCTGCATGGCCTGCTGGGCCACTGCTGCCACCTGCTTGTCTGATCTAGCTGGAAGCCTGACCAGACTCCCAAGCTAAATATCAGCCCCATAAATAGCAAGACGCTCTCCTGCACCCAGCAAGCAGACCCCAGTAACCTGCTGGACTTTCCTGCCCTCCTCTCCCATGGCCAGCTCCATCCACTGCGCGCTGTGTGAACCAGCCCTCCCTCCAACAGCAGCCAGCCACGTGGAGAGCTCACCCACCCCAGGGGCCACGGGAGATCCTGAAGAACTCCTCAGCAGTGGCTCTCCTGGGCCAGGAGCCTGGCAGAGCCTCTGCCCTGTTGCTCACCCTGTACCATTAGTGGTAACAACAGGACTCATCGTGAGACCAGCAAGACCTCACTGGTGGTGATGAGATCTCACCAACCCTCAACTGAGGCATCTCGAGGCAGCTTTCGCATGCCTGCTTACCAGGCCAGGTTCTGCCACTTCTTGAACATCAGCCAGAGTTTTTCAAGGATAATTTCTGTCACTCCTTAAGCCAGGCTCTGGGATCATTTGCTACCACCATTTCTTTGGCTGCTACAAGCAGCTCTGTGATGTACCACCACCGAGCCCTGCCCTGCCCCCAGAACCTGCCCAGATATGTTGCTTGGCATTCGTTCCAAACGTTACACGTGGTGCTGCTGTGGGCATTAGCCCTCGAGCACCACGCAGTATTTTAAAGCACACCACAGCACCCTGTCTGTGAAATTCTAGAGAAATCCCTCTACAGACACCACGAGGAATGGTCAGGTCTGGGAGGAGCACCTGGACAGAGAGAGGATGTGTGTGAAGGTCCCAAGTGATGCACCAAGGACTCTACAGAAAACACCATGGGGTGGGGTGGCACGTTATGGAGCTTCAGGGCCTTGCACAACCCCTGTGTACAGCCTCTTGGCTTCTCTGTTGAAATGCTCCTGCCAAACCCTTCCTCAGAAGCATCCCTCACTGCCTGGAAGGACACGGCCACACTGCCTGTCACCCCAACAGCCAGGAACAACCTCACACCGAGCAGGAGGAGGGGCACGTGCTGCCCAGCTCCCCCCTGGGGATGCAGAAACCCAAACAAGCCCCTGGCCAGGGGAGCCAGAACCACCCTTGGGCTTTGAAGCTGCAGTCCAAGCCTGCAGCCCTGCGGCCAAGGGGTAACCATGAGGAGCAGTAATGCTGCCAGCACATCAGCAGCAGGTTCTGGTGGGCCTCGTGAGACAGCTGCTCCACTCTGCTGGCCGTCCTCTCCAGCGCCCCGGCCAGGGGGAAGGGAGGAGCTCAGCCTGGACTTGCTCCAGAGCCACCCCCAGCCCCGGGCAGCAGAGCTCCGGGCCGGGGCCACTCCTCCTCCTCGGGAACTTCAAGACAGTCACCAGCAGGAGGCTCTGACGATTTGCTCTCTGACTCTGCCCAGTGCTGGTCAGGCCACATCTGGAACACTGTGCTCAGTTTTGGTCCCTGCTATGCAAAAAAAGATGTGGACAATTCGGAGAGTGTTAGAGAAGGGCCACCAAGGTGATCCACGGACTGGGAAGCTGCCATGTGAGGAAGGACAGAGAGCACTGGGTGTGTTCAGCCTGGACAAAAGAAAGCTCAGGGGAGACCTTCCCACCATGTTCCAATATCTCAAGGGTGGCTACAAGAAGATGGAGATTCCCTTTTAACAAGGAGTCACATGGAGAAGACAAGGGGTTATGGGGACAAGTTACTCTTTACAAGATTCTGATGGGAGACACAAAGGAAATTTTTCACAGTAAGAACAATCAACAGTTGGGATAATCACCCCAGAGAAGTGGAAGAGTCCCCAGCACTGGACACTCCTAAGATTCAGATGGATAGGAGCTGGGACAGCTTGTCTAGACCGGGCTTTTGTCAAGAATGGCTGGACCAGATGACCCTTGAGGTCCCTCCCAGCCTGCAAAGGTATTCTATGATTGTATGATTCTATGAGTCTCCCATCTTTTCACAGAAGCAGTAACTGTGGCAACACCTGCTACTGCAAGTAACTTGGAAAAGATGGGAGAAGTGTGGTTCCCACACAGTCAACAGCACTTCCAGGGGGCCTCCTGCCAGGCTGCATGTGAGAAAGCAGTAAGCAGAGAGCGACCCCTTTTCTGCACACCATGCATCCTTTTCTGCATGACCTTCAGAGGCTTGACTGCCCAGACAAAGCCTTCACCACTCCAAGAGACTGAACACGAAGACAGCAGCACACTCTGCAACGTCTGTGGGCTAGGGCCCTGCACAACAGGCAGGACCTGCTCTAGCTGTGGTGGAGGAAGGGTCTCTGCTGCACCCGCCTGAGCACGAAGGGCACCACAACAGCTGGAGCCACCCACTTCTGGAAGACCTATGAACAGTCAGTGATGTGAAGATCTGAGGTTCTCCAGCTCAGAGCTTCCTGCACTCTCCTCAGCACCATGCACAGACCACGGGACATCTGCAGAGACAGCAGCCTGGGAGAGAGGAGTGCTACCCCCAGCCTTCTGCTGAAGACCAAGAGGTGGGGTGGTCACTCCCTTGAGCTGTCATGCTAGACCAGTGTGCCATGAACTTGCTGTCCAAGAAGGTCAGGGACTGGTTGCTGTTACAGGACAGGGGCCTGGAAGGGCTCCCTGGGAGCAGAGGTGCAGGACACGCTCTGCACAGCAGGGACAAGCAAGCAAACCTTGGCAATGAAAGCAAGGACCACAGCGTAGGGAAGTCCTCCTGCTCCTGCTGTGGAAAAGACATCTTCCCCTGCCTGCGTGGGGCAGGTGTACCATGACCTTGTGTTGGAGAAACCATGCAGAGATGAGGCCTGGCTGGTAACAAGGGCTGCCACGCACCACTGTCTGCACTCCACCAGATCCCAAACTGACGCAGCGAGACCCACAAGTGCTCACTGGGAAAAGTTGCTTACCCACTCTGGGAACACCTCAACCCACCAAGCTTCATCTGCAACTGGGCCTTGAAGGTCTGTGAACATTTCTCAAAGGCCAGTGATGCCTGGGGCCAACCTGTCCGCCTTCTTTTTGTCAACCTCTCAATCTTTCTTTTTTTGATTTATGGAATGGATAAGCTCTTCCAGGGTCTCAGTGTCAGGCAGTTCCTCCAGCCTTTGATTAATTTTTGTAGCATTGGTGTTTTTTTATCTTCTCAATGCCCCTGTGTCCTCCTGAAGCGCTGACACCTGAGTCTGACAACACTCCAGCAAGAGCACAATTCCTGCCCTGTATGAAGGCAAGAATCCATCCAGACTTCCACCTTGTGCTCCCCTGCTTACCCACCAGCCTCAGCCCTCCAGGCAGGGCAGCCCATGCTCCTTGTCTGTACAGCATCAGCATTTGCTCAGACTGACATCAGCTTTGGTTAAGAGTCTCCAATTACCACACTCCTTGGGGTCTCCTGGACCTCCTCAGCCTCACTGCTCCTTCCGTGGGCAAACCTGCTCCCTTGCCTGCTTCCAGAGCACTTGTACAGGCCATGAAGAGACTCAGATAAAAGATGGAGCCCAGTGCTTTGCCAGTGCTCACCCCTGAGCCTTCTGGCAGCAGCTCAAGGTCTCCCACTGTGCTTGCAGCACAGCACTGGTGCTGGAAGCTGGTCCTGGCCTCACGTGAGAGCTCTCCTCTCAAACACTGCACTGCATGAAGTTGCACTGTCTATGCTTCCAGGGTGGACAAAGAGAAGGAATAACCCAGAGCACAATTCATCCCTTCTTGAGATACAACAGGATGAGAAGTGGCCTAACAAAGAGCAGCACCTAATCCTGCAGCGCCTTCCCCAGCCCCTTCCAAACCTACTGGCTGCTCTTCCTCACTGTACTGTCCTTCAGAGAAGGGCCACAACAGAGCCACTCTGCCGGGATAAGCTGAAGGGATCTGGTGACACCTGGTGCCAGCCACCTTCCAGGAGCAGGGCCCAGCAGAGCTCCCAGCCCACCCACTGCTGCTCCCTCCAGGCTCTGCAAACCGCCCAGCCGCCTTCGCAGATCCGCCCCTCCCAGGTCTGTGGCTGTACTCACAGTCCCCAGCTGTTCCAGGGCCTCTTGCCACCATTCCCCCAGTACTCGGGAGGAGGAGGAGGAGGGAGGGGACACCTGCAAGTGACCTGCCCGGCAGCGCCGCCTGGTTTCGCCAGGAACACCACACCAGAGCTGAGGCTGCTGGATGCTGAGGGGTTCCCTGCCAGGGGGACACTCTGAAGGGGGATGCTCTGGGCTGACTTCTCAGAGCGTCCTGGAGGTGGACTGGCAGCAGAAGGGAACATCTCTACAGAAAACAAGCAGCACTGTGACCGTGATCCTCAGCCCTGCAAAGGGAGGCCACAGGCTCCAGTGGGGGAAGGAGGATCCGCAGCTCCAGCTCGGAGGGTGTGGCCACTGCCAGGCTCAGCCTGGTGCCCTGCCCTCAGCCGGCCTCGCCCTGCCCTGTGCCGCATGGCACAGCCGGGATTTGCCTTCAGGTGCTCCTGCTGCAGCCCGATTGCCACACCTCCCTCCCCAAACCTCCCTCCCCAAACCTCCCTCCCCGTGCCTGTGCCACTTGCAAACGCTGACAGCACAGCCCTGCCCCTGCCCAAAGCCTCAGTGCTTCCCGGCTGCCCGGCTCGGCGCAGACCCTTCCTCATGGGTGGGGCACAGCTCTCGTGCAGGGCAGCTCCACAGACAGGACAGGGGAACATGCAGCCCCCTTCCAGTGCAGGGTCCCCAGTTATTTAACCAGACTGCAAATTCCCAGGACAGGGTGTAGGATCCCTCTCCCACCTACACCACTGCGCAGACCCCTCTCCAGCTCTAAGTCTAAGCAGAAACTTTCTCCCACACAGTTCCCATGAGGAACAGCTGCCCCAAGTGGCCCCTCAGCTGCTGCTCCCCTACCTCCAACACCCCAAAGTTCTGATGTGCATCCTCCTCTCCACGCAGAGCCATCAGAACCCTCCCTGCAGCCCCACAAGTCCTCTGCAGAGTGCTGGGCTGCACAGGCTCACCACAGGGATGCTGCTGTCCCCAGCAGCCTCTGGAACACACGGCTACCCAAAAATCAGCCTCTGCAGAACAGCAGGAGAAAGGTGCTGCCTGGCCCTGCCCTGTGGCCCCTTCACACGTACCCATGTGCACGCCACGTGCACAGCAACCCTTCCACACGTGCAGGAACGCACACACCCCAGAACCCAGGAATCCTTCCACGCGTGCCAGAGTCCCTGCACACACACAGCACACCCTGCTCCTTGCCCAGGTCTGTGTGCCTAAAGCCCCTCACGGCGTGGCGCCGTGGCCCGGGCAGTGCCAGCCCCCCAGCTGGTGCCCTGCCCCGCGGCAGTTACCGTCCTGGAAGACTCTCTCCACGTTCAGGCCGTAGGTGGCACAGGTCTCGTAGTACGTGCAGCGCTTCAAATCGTTGGAAAGCTTCCGAGCCCGGGAATCGTCGATGACCCGCGGGTTCGTGGCGCTGATGGCGTCTGGAAACCAGAGGGAGAGGAGGTCAAAGAGCAAGCGCCCGTGTCCCACCTACCCACGGATCCCAGGGCAGCTCCCCACGCTGAGACACCCACCTGCACAGCACACCCCCTCTCCTGGAAATGCCTTGGACACAAACCCCCAGGTCTGCAGTAAAATTGATTTGCTGAATTGATCTTTTTAAATGAACTAGTTTTTAAATGAACGTTATTCAACTCTCCCAACCACCCAGCACTGAGATTTCTGAAAACAGAGGCAGAAGCCAGCAGGAGCTGAGGCCAGCAGGACAAGGCAGCCAAAGGGATCTGCACTGCCAGTCTCAGCTGGCTTAGGTCCCTACAAGGGAGAAACCCTCCGCAGTGAACTGGGAAAGATGGCTCTGCTGGGACACGTCCACTGAAGCCTCCACGGAGAGCAACACTAAAAATAGACTCGATCCATACCCCGGCTGGCTGCCCAGCGCTTGTGTGCTTTGGAGAAACTCTTCCCAAGAGGAGCACGAGGCCCGGAAGACGCGCCTGGGACGTGCAGGGGCTGTGGGGGAACCCTCTCCGGAGGGGACAAGGGAGTGCTGGCACCCCGAACCCTCTGCTGGGCTGCTCAGCGAGACCCTACCAGGGCTGTGACCACATCAGGCTCCAAGTCTGCGACAACAAGGACCAATGGCCCTTCTGCCACTCCCCCGGCTCTTGAGCCCCACAGCATGTGGCTGTGCCCCAGCCCAGTCCTGAACCAACTCCCCTGCACCCAGGCCCTGACTCCTGCCCGCACCCAGCTGCTGCAGGCAGAACCAAGGGAGGCAGTATCAGGAGCTCTGGGCATTTCCAGGAGGACCGTGGCACCACAAAGCAAGGCAGCTCTGCAGGAAGGCAGAGGGGGTCTGAAGGAGAATCACTCAGCTCCACAGCACCCCAGACCAGGGGCCTCAGCACCGCTTGGTCCCATGTATGGCTCACAGACTGGGATCACAGAGTCACAGACTGGTTTGGGTGGGAAGGGACCTTTCAAGGTCATCCAGTCCAGCCCCTGCAGGGAGCAGGGACATCTGCAGCTAGAGCAGGGTGCTCAGAGCCCCGGCCAACCTCCCCTGGGATGGTGCCAGGGATGGGGCAGTGACCACCTCTCTGGGCAGCCTGGGCCAGGGGCTCACCACCTTCAGCACCAAACCTTTCTTCCTAATAATCTAAATCTTCCTCTTGTAGTTTCAAACCATCACCCGTCCTGCCCCAACACCCCGCGCTCCCTCACCCCCTCGGACACGTCACCGGCGCCGCTGCCCGGGCCGGGGGGGTGTGGGGAGGGCCCCGCCCACCCTCACCCTGCGCCCGCTCTCACCCTGCGTGCCCACCAGCACCATGGGCCCCTCCGCCGTGTTGCGGTAGCTGCAGAGCCGCAGGTAGTAGTTGTAGACTGTCTGGAAGCTGATCTCGTCCTCCAGGCTGAAGACGAACACGACAGCGTCGACCCAGGCCGCGAACTGGGGGAGAGAGCGGTCAGCAGGGGTGACCCCTCCCCGGGAGCCTCCGGTCCCGCCGGGGGGGCAGGCGTCCTACCTGGAGCTCGGGGGGACCCCCTTCATCTCGGATCAGCAGCAGGTAACTCTGACCGTCCACCACGATCTCCTTCTTAAACCGGCCACCTTGGGAGCAGAGCGAAGCCGAGGTCAGGAGAGGGGCAGCCCGCAGGGGACGCCCCGGGGAGGGCCAGGGGGCTGCAGAGCCCCACGGCAGCGGCGGATGGGGGGCTGAGCCTCGGAGAGGAGCGAGGTCCTGGACCACAGACGGCCCCCAGGTGCCCCAGAACCAGACCTTACCCTCTGGAGACTCCTCCTGCACGTAGGTGCCGGTCAGGTAGCGGTGCACGAGGGCCGACTTCCCACTGGACAGGTTCCCCACGATGCCCTGAAACAGAGGCACGTGTCACCCACCACCCACTGGCCCAGCGTGTCTCCCAACACACGAGGCCATGCCCTGAGAGGTGAGACTACTAGAGCCTGGGCACATGCCATGATGGGCAAAAGTCCTCCTGAGAGGGCATAGGGGACAGAGAACCCAGCCTAGCAGTGGTGCAAGACCTTGGGGCATTCACTGGTCTCCACTGGCCACACAGCACCAGGGAGGATTAGGACAGGGAATGTTCCCCTGGACCTGGCACTAGGGAGGCCACCTCTCAAATCCTGGGGTCAGTT